AAAAAAAAAAAAAAAAACATTTTAATATTATGTATTAGCTAATAAAAATATACGTATACTATTTTAATAGAGTTGATACCGGCTTATTGAGCATTATCTCTAAGGTCTAGCTTATGACGATTTCAAAAATACTATGTATGTATTATATGTTTAAATATAGGTGATCTTATGGCCTATTTTCACCCCCGCTGGAGATAATGCCATACTTCAATTAGTTCTTTGGAAAATGTTCCTCTTTTGTAAAATGTTTAGGCAGAAAAGAGTGGTTGCGACCAAAAACGCAACTAGAATCATCAATTAATTATAGAAGGGCTGACAGATAAAATGTGAATATCTATAAGATAAAATCGAGAACTTACTGAGCTTCATGAAATGGCAAGAAAGTTTTATTTATCTTATGCTAGCAGTGTATAAAGATTCTCTCTAACACTGACACCCTAAGGGGGTATGGACTCGAGGTAGCGGAAAAAATATGAATCTTCACTGAAAAAATTGAGTCCAGCATGTCCTCACTACAACTACTGTTGAACAATGTTGAGCTCAGCATCAATAAAATAGTTCTCGCCACTAAAGCTATAATTGAAACACTTTATACTTTGAATAAAATAATGTTTTTTTTTTTTTTTTTTGGCAATCACGCAGTATTAACAAACTCTTTAAAATATGAGTCGTATATATGAGTATGTACATATATCTATGGTAAAATTTTTGAATCAGAAGGTGATTTAAATATTTTTTAAAGACCCAGAAATCTAAATGACGAGGTAAAGAATTTTTAGGTTCAATTAGCTGAAACGATGCCAATCCGGAGGAGAAACTTAAAACTGTATTTGCTTGTGAGAACTTTATCATTATTAATATGTTGAAGCTTTAATATATGTCAACATTTATTAAAAAATATTTTTTTTGTAAAAGTTTTAAGCCAGAGGGTCAGGCTTGTGGTGCGTAGACGTGTACATTTGATGAAAAGAGAATGGAAATTTTCGCGTTATTTTCAGCTAATAATGTAAACCAAAAACATTGTTGCTGTTGAGTGCATTATATACTGTGTAATTATCCAAATTTTTTGTTACGCATTAAAATTAAATCGTAGTATTTTATTTTTTGTATCGAAAAAAAGGTCTTTAAAAAGCTATTAGTCACTTCTAGATGAGGCCCTTCTATAAAGAGGCTATTTCAGGCTTTAATCATAGAAAAGTTGGTTTTAAAGCTGACACTCCCTCAAAGGCGAAAAGTTCTATTCAGTTTTCTATACCCTTAATGCTTTCTACTTATTTAGTAGCGTTACATGTATATACTATTTCTAAATATCTGAAACAAGAACAAATAAAACTTGAATTTTGACTGCACCACAGCTATAATACCCTTCACACGCTCTTATAGTTTAAAAGGGTAGAAAAATATATGTATATAGTAGTTTGAATTTAAGTTATATGCTATAGTGGCTCAATGTGAATGATTTTTTCGGAGCTGTTAATGTGGTCAAATTTCCTGAAAAGAAATCTTGTCAAATACAGAACCTTTCTGAACAAGAACTTGATTTAGATATTTCAGTTTGTATGCCAGTTATATCCTACCGTGGTACGATATTGGCGATTTCGGCAACAACTGAAGACTAGTTGGCGTATATACAAACGGACATACAGACAGACATGGCTAAATCGATTGAACTTATCACGCTTATTTTTTATATACGTATATCATCCCCTAAAATGCAGAACAACGTATCATCAAAAAAAAAAAAAAAAATCGAAAATCGCTGTCAGATATATTAACCAATATATAACTAAAACTCAATTTTATTTTTTTTTCAGTATGAGTGTTGATAATCAAAATATAACAATTCCTCCAAACTCCAATTTTGTTTCAATATGAGTGGTTTCAATTATATTGCTTTTCCTTCGCCTGTAAACTTACGACACAAGTGATTTACGTTATTTGGCATTTTAGGTGACGATATACATATGTATGTACTTTATAGGATCTCCGACGTTTTTTTTGGCTGCTATAAACTTTATGAATAACTTAATATAAAATAAAATGGTGATTAGAAAATGTGTACTATTCTGCTCTAAAATACTCAAATTTCACAAGTTTATAGTCATTTAGCGAATGTGATGCTAGACACTGATTATTTCTAATTTTGGGCTGCTAAAACCGAAAGTGACGTAAAAATTACCAAACAGGTAGGATTTTTTATCTTGCAGTCAAGGTGTGTAGGGGTCGAACCACCAACAATCACTAAAATGATAAAAGTAACTGTACGTGATGGAAAACTTTTGAACTCAAATTCGCAACTAGGACTTCTAATACCCCACAGACCTCCGTGGTGGTAACATCAGTCGCAAAATTTTCCTTCAGTTTTGTCGAGTAGTATTATCAATAACAATTGTGGTAAACCGTAAAATATTTCAAAAACATAAATCTAAAATTTTCCTTTCATTTCATTGTTTCAACACAGTAGTACGTACGTTATATTTTATCTTAAATTAGTCTTTAATTGACTTCGCTGGAAACAAAATTTCACAATTTTTCACATAAAAATATTTTCTAATTTGTTTTAAGTAATTTATAATTTTTCAGCATATTTGAAAGTAACTCACGAACACGCATTCACTAAAACAAACGCGCCACAAATACCAGGCAACCGAAGTGAATGAATGTGGGTGGCAACCAGGGACAACGGAAGGATACTTGATTATGCGCTTCTGCCGCTGGCTTCCTCGGGATTTGTTTACTGAAGTTTGTTTATAAACAGTAAACGAGTCAGTATAAAATATAACAACAACAACAATAAAGTAATAACAATTTAACGGTAGGAAATCACCCTTTTTGTTTGCCACATGCACTTGCTGAGGTGTCGGCGTGTTGGCGGAAGGAAATGCAGCGCAGTAAATAAATCAAATGCAACTATCAGCGACAATTGACAAAGTGCCAGCGCGTCGGTTGATTGCTAGTAAAAATGTGGGGAAAAATTCTTTGCACTCACTCCTACACATACATAGATATGTTTGCACCCAATTAGCTTTTAGTTCGGGTAACAATACAGTTATGCGCGATTGTTGAACGAAATGCGCGAAAGGGCTACAAAAAGTATATTTTGCTTGCAAGAAACTATTTTCAAACCAATTTCAAAAAAAAAATATATTTAACTTTTTTTGTTTTTTGTTTTTTTTGTCACAAATTTTGCTACAAAGTCTGAGTGCCTGTTTTTATGTTTGTTGGGTAAGAATTTGAATATGATTTTTTATGCGGATTTTATGCGAGTAGGCACGCGATTGACTGACATTAGACTGGACTGTTGTTGTTGTCGATGTTGTTGTGGGTGGGGTTTGACAGGCGCGGAACGGCGGAAACGAAGCGCGTAATAAAATGCTGTGGTGAAAATTGGAATTATTGATCAAATAAAGCGCGCTAAAGAAATCGTCGGCGAAATGAACGCGGGAACTCACTTGGCAAAGGCGAAGATAATATACACACATACACACGAAGTCGTAAATGACACGAGAAGGATGCAAAATTTGACAGCAAATAAATAGAAAATACCATAGTCACATTATTGGCGAAGAAAACGGTGCGCGACTACTTGAGATTTCGCTTTGGCAGTGAAATGTGCGACGCTTTCGGTGAGCGA